GATTGCATATGGAAGCGAAAGGGGAAGATTTCGGTGATGTTGCTACGATGAAAGAGATGTCAGAGAAGAAGGTTGATGTCTTAAAAATATTTTTTTAAGAACCCTAATTTTTATAATTTTTTTTCCCCAATTCGTTTTATGAATACTGATCATTTAAAAAAAAAATTATCAGATCAGACTCCGTTAATGGAGAGTTAACCCCATGAACGGAAAATTGACTCTGTTAACGGTTTTGTGTGAATTGACCAAGTTTTATAAAATTATGTAGTAAATTCAAAAACAAAAGGAGTTCATGTGTGTTTAGGCCCGGGTCAATACTTCATGTATAAATAAACAGCAACAATATAGTTCATGGAGGAATAACCGTTATCCCCTTGAGTTGTGGGTCTATAAATTAAGGAACGAGTCCCACTATATCGTTGAGATTGTGGTTCAAATTTTATTCTGGTTACCAAAAAAAAAAAAAAAATTGAAAACGTAGATGGTGATGAAAATTTTAAATTAAAACCCGAATCCTTCTCCTCATCCAAGTCGTTTAAAATTTAATATTTTAATATTTTTTATTGAAAAATTTTAAATTAAACTTAATATTTTAATCTTTTAAACAAAATAAAAAAAGATTTATTGTCGGTTAGAAAGACTTGGAAACGGCGGAAGAGAGCCCGAGAAATCTAAGAATTTTGAGGATTACCCACTCGGTCTGTTTGTCAAGTTGTTGCTTCAAATTTACAATCTCATTTCGTTGTTATTCCAATATTAAAGAAATTTACTTGAAGAATGAAGGTTTTCAGATCCTGATTAGTAGTAGTTGGTTTGAAGATAACATCGAACCGTCTTCCAACATCTCGGATAGTTGGGTTTCCATACATATGTGTTTTTCTTGATCGACTCGTACAACTCCTTAGTGACGGTTTTTACTCCCTTAGTGAGTCATCATAATTAAATCAATAAATTCAGACAGATTTCTGACGAGCTCAAAACCATTGGTATTTTTTGAGGATTTCGACATGATATCGACCACTTTTGATTCCTTGGAAATCTGTTGCTATGCCCTCAGAATTTACCATTTTTTTTTTTTTGCAAAGCACGACATAGAAATAAACTCATCTCCTATTATCAAGAAAACTATCCCGTCGATTCCACCATACTCATATCAAAACACTCCACGCTTCCCAATCAAAGGCATATGTGAAAAATCTCTCATGATTCAATTTGCTTTTATCAGACAGTTACCACAAGCAAAGTCTCCCTTATCTATAAGATGGAAGCCTTAATACTAATAGAGCCAGAAGTTCCCACCGCACAAACCTAATGTATTGACAACCATGGGAATAACGCTTTGATGCGCACAAAACTTGATTTGCTAGACGAAAGAGGAGAGAGGGCACATGTATGTTACCAAGCTTCTTCAACTGATATTCAACCCAATATCACACGACAATCTTCTGATGTACATTGAAGAATTATTCTGAAAAATGAATAGAACATGAACTATTTATGCCATGCGAGGGTAAAAACTTGAGCGCAACTTCTTCGAATAAATATCCACCGATAAACTTTCCACACCAATAAACGTCATCTCCATAAGAATGAAAGGGAGATAAATGTGGTCATACCAAAATCTAGAGAGAAAGAGGGAAGCAACACGGCGTGGCTAGACAAGAAAAAAGAATAGACTAAAGACCCATCGGATCAAGCCAAGAAATAAAAAAAAAGAATTTTCAAAACCACTTTCGAGAACAACAAGACTACATCACACAAACCAAAAGAAACCACACATGGAGGGAAGAACATATAATCTGAAACTACTTGGGCTCCATACGCCTAAAGAAAAAGGAGAAGCGAGCCACCGTTGCACGTAAGAGGAAGGCATTAGAGAAGCGAGCCTGGAAAACCTAGGTGAGGAGATCCAATCCCTCGAAGAACCTCAACAAAGGCAGAGTAGCCATTCCCTTCCCGCAAACTAAAGAAACTACAGCTTCAGAACACGCGAACAAAAGAACCCGAGCACCATAGCCTAACTTCACAGAAACTCCCTCCGAAAGAGCACATGCCAGAAAAACCAAGAACAACCTAAGAAACTCCAACCGCAGCAAACCTAAAACACTAGAGCTGATTCATGGAGGTCAATAAGACTAAACTATAATTATAAGCAAAGGGGGAACGAGCTCAGAAACTCACGCATGTAGACTAAAAGGAGGTGTCAAAGAAGATAGGAAGCGCCGGTAACCGCCAGAACGAGACTCGTCCTCAGAAGCCTCACCGGAGGCCACACCGTATCCTAGACCCAAAGACTAACATGAACCACTACTATCGAAACCGGGATAGAAGACTAGAAGCAACTGAAGAAGACTAGTTATTATCGCCGCCGAAGAACCACGAGCCCCCTTAGTCCCTGAACATCGAGATCGACAACCCACACCCACCCTAGAACATCATATCCATCTCCCATTAAAT